GCTCAAGAAACATTTCTTATTATCATCAATGTTGAAAACAGTTGTACTGCTTCATATTTTTGTGGAAACAGTTTTTTAGGATTCTGTGATGATCAAAAAAGAATGATCAAAAAGATCGGCATTTATTTTACTGTTTGTAACAGTGCATATTACATAGTCTTTATTATTTATGCAGAATTTTATTTAAGTAAAATATGATTTCATATTTCTTTCTTTTGATTCCAGGGTGAAATATGATCTGGGCGTGGTTTTGACAGGTTTCATGATGCTCATCTATGCAAACTTTAGTGCAAGTCATTTTTACAAGAAAATATCTAACATTTATGTTAGTTAGAAATTATGTTGTATTATTAGTTAGATATTTATGTTAACATTTTACAATTCTGTAACAGAAATGTTCTATAACAGTAACCTAATTAAGGTGCATAGTGAGTTGACTCTACAAGGTAAATCTAATTTATCAACCACATTTCCAGAGAATAATTAAATATATGTCTCCTCAAATAATATGCCGGACCGTTATAAATTATGATTTGCTATGATCTATGAATGGTTCATGTTGTACTATAGAAGATGGATGATCTTATCGTTCCACAAATAAATCATGTTTTGACTATGAAGTTCAAGGACATCAGCTGTATATTTGTTTGGTGGATGAAGCAAATCTGTTCTGTGTTCTGATTGGAAGATATCTTACAATTCCGTCTTCTCTGCAAGGTCAAGGAGACGCCCTTCATCAAACTGGACCACGCCACCAACCTGCAGCAGCTCCAGCAGAACCTGACACATGTGAAGATCATATGTTCAATCAATCAATGTTTTCACAAATTAAGGATGGTTTCAAGCTGGTTTTTGTGTTCCTACCTGCTGTCTTTCTGTATGTCTAGAGTCATCATCTGGACTACATAGAAACTCTAGAACCTGCAAAAGAATGAGCAACAGATAAAAGACACTTCAACAAAAAATCTTTTCATACAGGAAAGGCAGAATAATTCTAAAATCATAACAGTCAGCTTCCCTGTCGGTAGCTGAAAAGCTTCCAGACTGGTTTTAAATTGATGCAATCTAATTAAGAACAGGCCCCAACGTAGGGTGCAAAATCCTGAACTCTTTAACATGCAGAAAAACAAGCATAGCACTACTAATGCGGGAGA